TTTCAACAGTAACAGAGTTTAGAACAATAGACTCAGCATTTGGGGATGTGTTATCAAATATTCAGCATGGCTTGAAGAAAGTCATGACAGTGATGTTTCATAGCTAAAACTTTTCAAGAACTGTAATTAACAACATGGCATCCTTAAACACATTAGATAATAGCATGAATAAGATAAATAAAGAAAATGTAAAAATTACTAAATAGTATCCCCATGGGTTTTTAATGAAATAGAAAAGGAAATTGGAAAATGATTTAATTAAACCTATTTAGTAAATGTACTAGGGGAAGAGACTTAGCTTAATTTCCTAATTCCCTGGCAGGGAAAGAGCGAATGCCTTTATTTCCTTTCTTAATCAAGGCCACATTTTTCTACTGACCAAGTCTACATCCCAGCACTGTGGAGAAAGTAAGCCTGGTAACCATAAGAGTCTAGTTTCCCCATGATTAAGACATCCTAGAAGTCAGTGTTAATATTCCCAGCATGCAATCTTGCACTAGAGAGGAGATGTCAGCTCTTAGATGTACACTGACCCCAAGTGGCTTCCTGGTTTTGGTTCTCCTAGTGAATGTTGCAGTATCTGGGTTTTTTTTTTCTGGGTTATGGGTGTGGGGTTGGAGGGTCCCATCAGCTTGATTATATGTGACCCTGGATTGGCTCCACTAACATTGTCATCAGACTTGCTGGTGATGAAACTGAGCTGTGTTCCTATTTGAGAAAATCACTATTCCTCTTGGCCTTCATTATGCTGGGGAGGGAAAGTCAGTAGGGATGCCCAAGAGCTTGTTATAGATTGCAAGTGACAGAATCTGACTGCGGGAGATAATTTTCATTTCATTCTCTCAATAGCTATTTTGCGAACAAAATGTTCTTTTTAAAAGTCTCTAAAGAGTATAGAAAATCTCCCAACTGTGTACTGGCTCTTAACCAATGGTAAGACTACTATACTTTTATAGGGTATACCACCATCAAATGCAGGCTAAGTAAGGAAACAGAATTCTGATTTTACCTTTAAGAATAGCTGGCTGGTACCATTGCCCAAGCCAGTTACCTCTGTGTCACTCTGTGAACTGTGGCTGTGGTACAAGTTAATCTCAACTGATTAAAATCACTCTCTGGCAGCTGTTGCCTGCTGGTCATGTTTCCTCTGGCTAATTGGCACACCTGCTTGAGGGACAGTCTCTAGCTTTATTCATTCTCACAGCAAGAAAGGATTGAGCATCTGCCCTGGGCTGGGCATGTATGGAGAGGCTAGATGCTAGAACACATCAGTGAAAAGATGGAAATTAAAAATGTTCCCACCTTCAGTAGTTAGCATGTCAATGGAAAGAGAGGGGACAAAAGGAACATTGAGGGAAGATGATCTCGGTGGTGACATGTGCTCCAGAGAATCAGCAGGCACAACATTGGGATGGGTCAGACTGAGTGTTGTAAGGAACTCAGATGGGGTTCTCCCACAAGCAGAGCCCAAAACAAGGCTTCAGGAACAGGTGCTATGTGCCAATCCCAGAAACACAGTAGGAATACACAGCAAAGAAAGAGATAGACACTGAAGCATGGTCCCAAACCTCCCACCCTTTCTTCATCTCTGGGTGTCAGCATTGAGCATTCCACCAGCTTATGCACCACGCAGAGGATGCTGGGTTGGCATCTACTAAGTACGCAGCTGTCACTACTGTAGGGCTGCCCCTGGGCATGTGGGCTGGCAATCCCTGGCCTCCTCCTCATGCAGGTGTGGTGGCAGGTGTTTGCAGTTAGTGCATAAAATGGTATAGCAGTGTGTAAGAGAAAGTTGAAATAAATAAGGCCAACAGTGTCAGCTGCAGGGAAGTAACTGACTCTTCAGATGAGGGGACAAGAATGAGTTCTCTGGAGAGGTGGTGTGCTAGCTAGGATCCAGACCGTGGGAAGGAGTCAAGAATAGAAATGGTATTCCAAGACAGGAAGCAAGGACAAAGGTTGGGAGGGACTGAACTGGGGTTGTCTATAAAACAGAACCCAAATGGGTCATGGACTGACTGCCAAAGGCACTTGTGGAAGTTAGGGAGCTTGGAAATACTACATCTGTTCTTTCAAGAATTTGATGTAGACACGCCCTGGGATCCTGAGGTAGAGCCAGGTCCAGTGCTTGGGCCTGGGCTGCCAGCTGTGGGCTTCCCCATCTTGGGTACACATACTCAGCTCCTTCTCCTGGTCTGTTTCTGTTATTGAGATTGGACACTTTTCATAAGCCATGGAACCAAACATGCATGATCTTTATGGGCACTGCACAAAATCCTGTAGTGCAGAAAGGACTTTGAGAGCACATTCCCCATAGAGGGATACTCCCTTAACCTAGAGGCAGGAGGGAGGGCCTAGTCCCTACTCCAAATGACTTGATAGATTTTGTTGATCCCTCCTTGAAGGCATCACCCTCCCTGTGGAGTAGAGGGGGGGAGTGGAATGGGAAGGTGGTTGGAGGGAGGGGGGATAGGAGGAAGGGAAGGTGAGGGACTGGGATCCATATGTAAAATAAGAAATAATAATAATAATAAAGAAAACCAGAAAGAATGAACAAAAATAAACAAACAAAAAACCCTCCATGTACTAATAAGTAATTATAGCAGGACTTTGGAAATATGAAGTCAATATGCAAATCAGTTTCTTTACTGTATACAGGCAGTGAATAAAGGTTTTGAAACTAGTATTGCAAAAACTAATTATGAATCCAATTTTTATATTCTCTTTATCAAAACAGCAATGGTAGTAGCCATATTGCCTCGTCCTACTTTTCATTGATTTTGCAAGAAAAAAGAAATGTGCCTTTGTGTGATTCACACTGGTATCAAATGTGAATAAATAAATTTTGGCATTAAAAAAATCCTGTAGTGCAGTACTAATTATAATCAAAAAAGAAAAAAACAAAAATACAAGTTTACCCTAGCTAGGTGTGACCCAGCTTGGACCACTATCTGACTTCATCTCCTACCAGAAATCTTTCTCACTATTGCCTTCCAGTCACACCAGGCCCTTTGCTATTTTGGGAATATTCCAAGCAGCATCCTACCCCTGGGCCTCTGCTCAGTGCATCCCCCACCCAGGTATTGCTATAACTCTACATGGAACTATACTATACTTGTGCCAATAAGACCACACAGGTGGGCTGATCTGGACCACTCCTTCCAGTACCATCTCCCCATCCAGAAACCCACTTTATATCTCTTCATGGGCTCACGGCTACTCCAGAGCACACTGCTATACAGCATTGTGTGTGTTTACTTGTCTACTTGTCTATGAGAACATAAGGTCCACAAGGGAGGGAGCTTGAACACTCTTAAGTTCTCAAAATAGTGTGCTTGGTGATGAGGTTTTGGGGGGTGTGAATTGCTTTACAGAAGAGCTTATCTCTGGTCACTAACTTGGTGAGCAGCTTTGTGGGCAATGACTCTCCCTTTCTGTCTTAGTTTCTGTATGTGGCAAACAGACACATAAACTGTACCTTATAAAGGGATGAAGTAAAATGAGGCCACAGTTGTGAGCGTACTGTACCTTGTTGAGTTTATTATATAAATGCAAAGCTTTCTTTTAAGTTCAAGCTTCCTGGCTTTAGTTGAGTTTTGCTGAATTGGAAGAAAATTCCATTAGCAGTAAAGAATCCTTCATGGATGTCAGAGGTGGCCAGGCCTCCTCCAGGAGAACAGGTCCAGTTCACTATACATGAAAGAGCACAGTGAGAGGTGAAGTTCCCATCAGAAGCCAGCCCCTTCCAGAAACTTGCTGCTGACCTTGGGCAACTTGCAGTCATTTGTTCCCAGCAGTCTTCAGCTGTCTCCTCTCTCCAAAGGTAAAGCAGGATAGTGAGCAAGGACAGCCCTTCCTTCAAGATTTCCTCTTTGCTTCTTATATCTTGTCATCTTAGGAATCTGGGCCATTGAGATGACTCAGAAGTAAAGGGGCTTGTCATGCAAACCCAGAACCCAAGTTCAATCCCCAGAACTCATGTAGATGTAGAAGGAAAGACTAGTTTCCATACAATTGTTTCCAGACCTAAACACACACACACACACACACACACACACACACACACACACATGCATGCACACATACATACACAGATACACACATACACACACAAAGACACACATACACACACACACTCACACACACACACATACACACACAGACATACACACACTGTGCACAGTGTTTTCCAGACACAGCAGGGCAGTTACACATACAAATTCATAGTGGTTGTGACTGAATATATAACACCTACACAGTTTTAAGCCAGACAAAATTCCAATATGAAAATGGCAGGTAGGCACAAATTCTCACCTCTAATGAAAAAGTTATTGGCAGTTGGTAGCTTCTGGGAGAGTCTGTTCTTGAAGAATATGACACCTGGTAGGATGCTCATGCTTCATGAGTATATGTATAGCACAAATTAGGCACAATGAGTTTAAAAAAAAAAACTTTTAAAAAAAGAAGACATAAAGTTAAGTGGGTTGCGAAGGGTGGATCCAGGAGCAGCTGGGGGAGGAGTTACTATGATCAAAATAAGCTGTATGGAAATGGAATTCTAAAAGAAATAGTAACAATAATGATAAATAATATTTTTTTAATCCCAGTCATTCATTGATGGTCAGTCTGGACACATACTGTCTATTTAATCATTTCCCTAACTTCCAGACTCCATTGCATAAACAAACAAACAAAATAACTTGGTCCAAGGTAATGTAAGCCAGCCCCACTACGTCCTGGGTATGGGGGAGGGGGACATCATCCTCAGGCAGCAGGCACTCTTGGCCTCTATGCCAATTTTGTGTTTAAAAAAAACAGTGTGAGAATGGAATTCAAAGAGGGGCAAGACACTGCTGTCCACATTTTAGGCATTCAGTCTGTTCAGGAGAGAAAACCTCATGAGTCTACACTGCGGTGATATGGACCTGCAAACATGTCACCATGGTGACATGGGCCTGCCCAGGCAACATGTTTGATGCTCCCCTTTCCTTCCTTCACAGGGCTTCATGGACATTGACTTAAATAAGTTCAAGGAGAGTGGGGCCAACGTGACAGGTTTCCAGTTGGTGAACTACACAGACACCATTCCAGCCAGAATCATGCAACAGTGGAGGACCAGTGATGCTCGAGACCACACCAGGGTTGACTGGAAGAGGCCAAAGGTGTGAAAATGGAAACCAGCTTTTCTCTCTTAGTCAGCCCCAGAATGCTGAGGCATGGTATCTTTAGGAAGGAAATGTGTTTTTTATTGAGGAAAGGAAACATAGGCATGAAGGTCAAGGCATCCCAACATGACAGAGGTCAGCATCCCAGGACTATTACATTGATGCACAGTCACCAAATATTCCAAATTCTTGTTCTGTTGCCCTCAGCATTTGATTCCTTTGCCCTCAACCTTTGACTTCTGCTATATAGCTCAAGAAAGCCGTATAGACTTCAGTCATGTTGTCTGCCTTCTCCCAGCATTTGATAGTTGATTTTTGTCAATGGGACAAAATACTTGAGCAAATCAAATCTAGGAGGAAAAATCTATTTGGGCCCAGAGTTGCAGTGTGTGGCCAAATGGCTCCATTGCTCTTAGGGTTGTGGCAAGGCATGAACATACTGGTGAAAAGACACAATGGAGGGAAACTGCTCATGTCAAAGAATCCAGGAAGTAGAGATTCTGGAAGGGGCCAGAGACAAGCTACAGCCTTCAAAGGCAACATTCAGTGACCCACTTCCTCCAAGGAAAACCCTACCTCCTGATTTCCATCATTTCCCAGGGATGCCATTGGATTCATTGTGGTTTAATGCATTGATTATGTCAGTGTCCTTGTGGTACAGTTGCTTTACGGGTTCAGTTCATTGGTGGGTTCAGTTCAGTTCATTGGTTCAGTTCATTGGTGAATTGATGCAATGATTATGTCAGTGTCCTCATTATACAGTTGCTTTGCCACATCCCACCCCTGGGGACCATGCCTTCACCACATGAGGGGTTTTCTTTGGGGAGGGAGGAGATACTTCAGGCCTACACCATAATACAGCAGGAGAATGAGAAGAGAAAACATAGCCTCTGTTCCTATGAACTCTTTTCCTGAGTCTGAGGAGTGGATCAGTCAGTAAAGGGCTTGTTGCACCTGGCTGGGACTCTCAACACTCATGTAAAAAGCCAGACACAGGAACACACACCTGTAACCCCTGTGCTGGGAAGGCAGAGGCAGGATGATCCCTGGAGCTTGTTGGTCAGCCAGTCTAGCCAAATTGGTGAGCTGCAGGTTCAGTAAGAACCCTGTCTCAAAATTAAGGTAAAGAAAGACTGAAAAGGACTCCTGATGTTGACCTCTACTTCCAGGCATGCACATAAGCATACACAACCACACATACATGAACATGTACACCAGAGAGAATTCTCAGAAGTCACTAGCAGATCTAACACACCACTGGCCCCAGGTTAGAAAACTGTATTTAGCCGGCTGCAAGGAAAGCCAGAAAATGCTGCTTCTACTCTAATTAGGACCACCATCTTTCTTCTTCTGTAACAGTACTAGGGATTTACATTAATGCCCGTGCATGCTAAGCAAGCACTACAGCCCCCACCCCTCTGTCACCATCTCATGGAGCACAAGAAAAATATACCTCTGTACAGATGAAGCCTCCGTGAGTGGATTACTGAGGTGGCATGTGCTTCCCACACCTCTGTGTGCCCAGCTGACCATCAGAGAAACTTGCCTGGAGATGCACAGCTGCTCTCTACCTGAGTCTGCAGTCAGCCTCTTACTCCTCGGGCCCAGAGCCAAACTGTGTTTTATTTGATGTTTGATACAGTTTGTGAATGTGGAAAGCAGGCCATGGATCTTCTAAGTCAGATCACATAGCAGGTCAGTGGATACGTGCAACACTGTGTTGTGAAGGTTGCTGAGGCTAAGTCTGTTATCTGGGACCATCAATGACCCTTTGGCCCATGTTTCTAGGCTGCTTGGTTAATTTTGTGAACTGCAGTCTATATAGTTGAGGCGCTTCCCATCCCATCAGTGATCAAACTGACTTAACTCTTCAAGAATGAAGACTCATTGCAGGTTGTGATTAAACAAACTGCTTCAAAAAAAAAGATTGATGACCGACTTCCTAAGCCAGTTTCTAAGTGGACTGTATTTTTTCTGAGAAAATAAAAGAGGAGTAGTGGTGCATGCTTGTAATGCCAATATGAAGACAAGAGCATCAGGAGCTCAGTATCATCCTGGGCTATACAGAGAGTTCCAGGGTACTCTGTCTCAGAAATATAAATGAGAAGGGACTGAAGAGGAGACTCAGTCAGTAAAGTGCCTACTGTGTGAGCATGAGGACCTGCCTTTGGATTTCCAGCACCTGCAGACCAAGTTAGGCATGGCAGCATGTGCTGTAATCCCCTCGCTGGGCAATCAGATACAGGAGGATCCATGGGGTTTGCTAGCCAAGTACTCTAGCCAGTTGGTGAGGTCCTGGCTTGGTCAAAGACTTGATCTCAAAAATAAGATAAAGAACAATGGAGGAAGACCTCCTGCCAGCTCATACATGGGCACACACACACACACACACACACACACACACACACATGAGAGAGAGAGAGAGAGAGAGAGAGAGAGAGAGATACAGACAGAGGTGAAAGGCATATATATACATAATCACAAATTACAAATCAGGATCAGGAAATAAACTAAGAATTGGAAAAATTAAACTCATCCTATAGCTGTGCAATGCGTGTGTTATTACTGGGTAATAAGACCAGTTTTGTCTCATTCACATCTCAGCTGCCCTTTGGTCAAGCGAGGAAAACTCCTAAGTGTTATCATTAATCCACAAGAGGGAGAGCTGCTAGAATGTGTGCTTTACTGTGGAGTAAGCCGTGCAGAGATAATTGGGAGTTTGCTCGTCTTGGAATATTGTTTCCTTTGCTGTTAGAAGAGGTGGTGGGGAGCACAGCTCTTCTTGGTTCCCGGTTGTTGACTCCCATACAGAGGAAGCCAACTGACTCCATGTATTTGGCCTGCAGATATGCTATATTTAATCTATGCATTTCCTCCCAATTAAACCAACATTTTTCAAATCACAAGACTGAACACCAAACTCCAAAATGCTGGCTTGTCTTTAAGGTTATAGCTGGCCATGCCAAGTTTACAGCTCTGGAGAACCCACTGGCTGGGCAGATCTGGTGAGCAGACTTGTGAGAGACATGGACCATCTAGCTCTAAAAACTTCTAGCTGCCTGTCTACCATATACTTCATGCGCCAGGCAGCCATTCCCCAATACAGCCCTCCCCCCCAACCCACCTTTCTGTCACCTCTCTCTCTGACACCTGTCTACCTTTCTTCCCCAGTACACATCTGCTCTCACCTACGATGGTGTGAAGGTGATGGCCGAGGCCTTCCAGAGCCTGCGGAGGCAGAGGATTGACATATCCCGCCGGGGAAATGCAGGTGACTGTCTGGCTAACCCTGCTGTGCCCTGGGGCCAAGGGATCGACATCCAGCGAGCCCTGCAGCAGGTAAGGCTGGCAGTGCCTTCCCACCTCATTCTTGGGAGCCAAATAGGAAAGGCAGCATCGAGTTTAGGCAGTATGAAACACTCTAAAATGAAGAGAGTGTGCCTGGAGTTCAGAGTGACCGCTACATTGTTTACATCAAATGTATGGAACTCAGGTCAAACTTGGAACAAAACAAGCAAAGAGACTGATAAATGTGGTATCATTCCGTGTAATATCAAAGCTGCATTCTCTGCTTAGGGATTATGCTGAAAGGAAGGAAGGAAGGGAGGGAGGGAGGGAGGGAGGGAGGAAGGAAGAGCAAGGGAGCTACTGGAAAGCCACTGATTTCCATGTTCATGTTCAGAACTTGCTACACACAGGGATGAAGTGGGGGGGGCAGATAGTTCATCAGATGACATGCTTATCACAAGAGCATGAGGACCAGCACTTGGATTCCCAGAACCCATGTGAACACTGGGCAGATGTAATTGGTTGGCTATAATCCCAGTACACAGGAGACAGGCGTGGGATCTGCACAGTGGGCTGGTTAGCAAGACTAGCAGAACTTGTAGGTTCTGGGTTCAAGTGAAAGACCTTACATCAATATAGAAGGTGGAGAGAGTAGAGGAATGTTTCAGCCTCTGGCTTCTACGTATAAATGTGCACATGTGCTTATGTACCCATCCACACATCTTTATACACACACGTGCACATGCACGAACACACACACACACACACACACACACACACCACATGCAAACTAATACAGAAAAGAAATGCTCAGGGTTGGCTCTGAACTGTGAGTAGAACCCTACAATTGTCTTTTTCCATTGCTTTCCCATTCATGCACATTTCATGTCTCTATTGCTCATCCTTCTGACCGGATGTTCTCACATCTCAGCACCACATTCATTAATTCTGTTTGCACTCGAACAGTGAGAGAACAAGAATAGAAAAACATGCCTGACCCAATTGATTGGTCATGCAAAGGACTCAGAGGCAGAATCCAGATTCCACAGTGGAGAGTATAAATATTCAATTACTAATGTATTTGCTGGGATGTATGTTTGATATTCCTGCTTTAGAAGATTCTGGGTATTTGCCCACTGCTTGAATACTCTTGGAGGTCCTAGAAGTTTCTAGAAATACTGCAAGACCATGCTGTGATTCTCAATTTGCTAGTATACATTGGCCCTGGTGCCTCCAATGGAGGCTATATTTCCGAAGAGATAGTGGGAAGAAGGCTATGCTAAACCCAAAAGGAATGGCAAAGCGTGGGCACAGAGGGGAACACATAATGGCAATATTTTGGTATAGTCATCCTTCAGGACCCACCTTTCCCAGTCAATGGCATTCCATGGGTGAGGCCAGATCCACCATTAAGCCTTTATCCAGCCAAAGGTGGAGTTGGGCTCCCAGGGGAGAGGAGCACATTGAAACAAGAGATACATGAACACAAAATGTTCATTCACACATGCACAGCTCTGCAATTTTCACAACCTAGAGAATGATTAGGAAAGAGCCTCAGCAGCTGCTCCCTGGCCTGAAGAAGAGCCCTGTGGGATGGAGAACATGCAGGCACATCCCCCAGACTGAAGTAAGGCAACAAGCCTTCTGATCACAGTGGGCATCTCTAGGTTCTCAGTGGAGTCTATGCCCTCCCCTGTCTCTGTGCAGGGCAGCCTCCAGGTCACCAGTCAGTGACAACAGACACCAGGCAGGTTCCAGAATGATTACCAAAGAGGCAATGCCCACCCCCAGCTTATTTAAAATGCTTTTCCTGATGGCTGTCGAGACAGATTCTGTCTACAGTGTGAGGCTGGCCTCAGACGGTCCCAGGGACTTGCCCTTGGCGCCACAACCTTCCAGCTCCTCTGCCTCTCCCATCTTAATGACATCCTTGAAAGCATCTTCTGACGCCATCATGACAGGGATGAAGCCCAGGAGGCAATGTGGAGTGACAGGCAATGGTCTGAAATAGGAAGCAAGAAAGACAGCCCCCAGGTCTCTCTGAGAAACCTCAGACTGTCAAGCTCTCTGGTGGACCATTTTTCTACAAAGAGGAGGAGGCCAAGAAGACACCAACCAAGATCCCAGCATTCAGAAGGCAGAGGCAGGAGGATTGCTAGTTTCTACCTAATGTGTGCTACTCAAAAAGTGCCGTGAGAAAAAAAAATACTCTAAGAGTTCATTCGTTTCCCTTATGATCTAACTCACATTTTTTCCACTATTACATACACTCATCTTCAGCTTCTGCCCTAGCAGGATTGGAGGGAGTTGCCATGGTGAAGGCTGATATGTTACTCTGCTTTGGAGCTGAGGCACATGTATGCCTACCTTCCATGGGTAGTTCCCTAAAGCTGACTGCGCACTCCAGGGAGGGAGGAGGACTAAATACTGGGAACAATGAAAAAAAGTCAAATCCAACCCACAAGAGACTCCTTCAGTCTCTTTAATGAACAAACAAACAAATCAAAATGTTCCTTCTCTAAGACCATCTGCCCAAAACAGGCTCCCTCTCAAGTCTGTGTGAATCACTCAGAATAATAAATTTATTGCTAGAAGAGACCTTGGAAATCACTGGCCTGGTTTTTGCCTCTATGAGACAGTAGACCTAGAGTCCCTATGATGCCTACACAGTGCCACAGAAGCTTAACCACAGAGGTGGAACCAGACCTCTGCCCAGGGCCCCTCTTTCCAAGCACCAGCCCATCCTGTGACCCAATAGACTCCACTCTACAGTATGAACCTCTGGAGCCTTTACCTAGTCACAGCCACTGCCCAGCCATTTTGTCTTCGAGACCCATTTCCTCACACCATCAGAGGACAACTGCCACCAGAGCCTAGGTATATCCTAATGGCATCCGGTTTTTAGAACCCAGGGATCTGTTCTGGAGCTCCTGTGTCTGCAGCCTTTGGGTCACACAGTACAAAGGACCAAGCCCACTCTGGCTAAGATGGTGCCATCTGGAGTCCAGCACAACCTGCCTAGCAGGTTAACATGCTAGGAAGTCAACTCCTAAAAATAATTGTAATGATAGCTGTGATGTAGCATGGGCAGACAGCACAGGGCTCTTGAGTATTACCTCACTGAATGCTCCACAGAGCACAGTAGGACTCAGTTATTAATTGTAAAATTAAAAGGCTGAGCTTCAAGGAGATTAACAAATATCCTTACATGATACAGCTGGCCTGTGATGACACACAGAGGATGCTCTGCAGTCCAGCAGAGATGACCCAGAGCAGTAGCCCAGTCCAGTGCACGTGCATCCCTCATCACTGAAATTCCCCCCAGAGAAATGTGAAGTTGCTCCTGCCTGCCACCAGGAGAGATGTTTAGAATGCAGATGTAGCCTTCCAGCCTATTATCTGGATGTCCACAGTGCTCCAAGAAGGGAACACCCTGTGCCAGCTTCTAACTGGCAGAAAGAAAAATGACCCAAGGCTCAAGTCATGTTCTTGATATGTGGGAAGTCATAGACCTTGAAGAATGAGTGAAGAACAAAATCTCTGGGCTCTTATTACCATATAAATATGCATGTGTTACTATTTATAGTTTTCTATGATCAGGAGTTGGGGAGATGTAGATGCTCCTAGAAGCCTAACCCAAGCCCTCAAATTCAGAAAGCTAGGACTAATTATTCCTCTTAGTTTTTTTATTTGGGCCATAGTCAAGTATATACAAGTAAGTGAAGGATGGATGCCATCTAGGATGGGGTGGGTGAGAGTCTCTGCTTTTTAGTGTTAAGGTTCAAAAGCATGGAAAATTCATGAGCAGTAATTGGAAGATGTGCAGTGAGGACTAAACCACACAGTGAGCTCTTAGTCTTGTCAAGGGCAGAATCAGAATATATGACTTGAGTGTGGGCATTTACAAAGCTTTCTATAGGAATACAACTTGGCTCTTGCAACTCACTGTTCAGTCTGGAACACACACACACAGAGAGGAGGGGGATGGAGCTCCATGAGAGAACATTTGCATAGCCTGGTGTGCATGTGGTCTTGAGTTCAATTCCAAAAACACTCATGATGCCTATAAAAGACTAGAGTGAGGACATAGGCATATGTGTGGATGATACACTCAACATCTGATGGAGTGTAGAACAAAGGAGCTGGGTTCATATCCTAGCCCCAGCAAGCACTGATGGGATAATCACTCATTTTTCTTAGGACTGCTTCATCTGCTCAAAGGATTCAGAGTTCTTAAATCATCCCTCTGGCTTCTTAGAAGGCTCAGCATGGTGGGTTCTATAAAACCCAAGTCCATAGCCATTCAGCTCTCTCTTCTCTGGGCTACTTTCTGCATCCATCAGTAATGGGAGTTGCTAATAGTCTTCAGTTGTCAAGCTGTAGTGAAGTCCCTCACCCTCTACCTAGTCCTTCTGTGTGCTTCCTAGTGAAACACAACTCAAGAGAAGAATGTCCTAAGAGCAGTTAGTAGGAACCTGGCCCCATGATCAGCTGCTCATCCATCACCAGCCCTTAGACAATGTGTAACAGAGTGTATCCTCTTTAGCGGGATCCTGTTAGCTTAATTTACTTATTACTTTAAGAGTTCCCATTACTCCTTAGGTTTTCTCACAACAACATTCCATCCCTGTCTCCTTCCTTGCTCCTTATCTATAAATTTTCCCTTGCCCATCCCCTTTCCATTAGTTTGTAAATGAACCTAAGTCTCTCTCCCACTGAAAAAAAAAATCTGATTGCAAAGAACCCTGAACCTGGTACAGCTACCCTAGGTAGACCAACACTCCTGAGCTTTAACTAGAATCTTAAATAATTATCTTTAACATGTCTAAAGTAGCAGACATTAATCATAGCTCTCAGGCGGGGAGAAAGACACTTACCTCAGCATTCTGTTGGAGGCCAATTTAGAGCTGGCACCAGTTCTACCAGAAAATCAAGCCAAACTCTCCACCTTTCATGAAGTCAGTTGCCAGGGACAAGGACAGCTCCAAGAGTTCCAGGAAAGGAAACAAGGAGAGATGACTGGCTCCATCAGCCTGACCTCACTCACCCTAGGGTTGGGAGGGCTGACTGCCTGGATCACAGAATGGTGGATGAGGACAATTCCAAAGCCCAGTTTCTAGAATCTTCTTCTAATCTTCTAATCATTGTTACAAAGGTTTTAAGGCAAAGGCTTTCAGCCCCAAGAAGACATGAAGGGCTTCAGTTACTCTAGGAGTCTACTGACCTCCATGAATCTGGAGCCAAGAATCATCAGCTGTCTCCTCCTTCTTATCTGGAAAATTGATAAAATGGCCTCTGATTGCCTGTCTTGAGGCCTCTGATGAAGTTCCTGGAGCACCTGGGGGCCTCTAGTCCCTAGAACTTTGAGAGTGAGGTCATTGACATTGCTGGAAACGGGTACTCTGAAAGGACAATAGGGCATTCTCACTTTTGTCAAGAATTGCCTGCTCTGCCCTATTGTAAGACAATTTCTCAGTCTTTTCTCCATTCCTTTTGGCCCATTCTACGTAGTATAGTTCTGGTATCTTCACCATCTTCTTAATGTGAATAGTGTCCATATATGAACACTCATGTCCAACACAAAATTCAATATATTTCTATTATTTCAGAAGGAAACCCAGAAACAGTTTCAGTGAGGAACCTAACAGATATCCTTTGAAACCAACAGAAACCTAAAATGCCCAGTGGGAGGTTATGAGAGCATGAGCAGGCATCACACAACACACTGTGCATGTCTGTGTGGCTCATTAGAGTTGAGTGTGGCACTTATGTCCCCTCTATAAAGGCCACCTGATATCCAAGGAATAGACACCAGAAATATCAGAAATTCTGGATTTCAGGTCTGCCTCTGGTGCTTATTCCTGACACCTATTCCCAGAATTCTGTCTTCCCTCTGTGAAGAGAAATTATAAAATCTAAGCGCTATGCCTCGTGGGATTCCTGTGAATGCAGATGAAGCTTCTTAAGTGTGTGATACTTGGGAAATTATGGTAGGATTAGGGTCATCCTTAGTAAACAGCTAGCTTGTTGAGTATTTGCAAGGGCAAAATTTTTGTCATAAAGTACCTTATTTATCCTTAAGTTAAACTTAACATAATTAACTCAAACTGATCCACCAAACACATAAGAAAACTGAGTGACATGAGTTTGTGTAATGTCCTATTACCAAATACATTTGAAACATCTATATAATTATTCTTTAGGAATAAAAATCTCATCTCAGGAGTCAGATATTGGGGTTAAGAACCTGAATGATCAGAGGAGCCACAGAGAAGCAACTTGTGAGCTCCATTTCCTTTGTTCCTCCATCTAAAAGGGCTGGGCCCCTCTCTAAGCCCTGTCCTACTCCTTCCTGTGTCTATCCATGCTCCAAAACCTCTATGACTATTTTTGATCAGCTAGTAGCTAGCTTTGCCCTCTGATCCAAAACAAACTTTATTGTTAGTCTCAGGAGTATTAGAACGCAATCAAAATATCACACTGCATTCATTGATATTTGATACTAGTGCCAAAGAGCAGGTGCCCATTTGTATTGTTAGTGATGATTCTTCCTGTTTGGCCAAGATAGTTTAGCATACAGTCATCCATATATTTGTCCCACTGCTGTCTAAATGAATTTCTAAAACTGAGACCTGCAACCAAGCTACACACCTTGAACCTGAACCTATAGAAGAGCTAAGCATGGACCAGGTGACTGTATTAGTTCCCTTTTCCTTGCTGTGGTAATACAAGGTACTATATAAAGAAGAATTTATTTGGACTTACAGTTCCAGAAGGATGAGTCCATCATGGCAGAGAGGCATGGCAACATGCGTTCCCAGTGACATACTTTCTTTAGCAAGGCTGTACCACCTAAACCTCCACAAAAAGTGCCAGCAACTGGAAACCAATTCTTGAAATACATAAGACTATGGGGAACAGTTCCCACTTAAACCACCACAATGTCCAAGGTGAGAGGACGGTGAAGTCACTGATTCCTTTCTAATATTCTTTGTGGCAGGATCCAAGTTTAGTTTTCTTTCTGCCAAGCAAGAATGATCCAGATATTTCTAGGAGTGGAGCTATCTCCAGCTTCCAGATGAGAATGATCAAAGAGTTTGTATAATTTGCTCAGTGTTTTGGGCCTGTCATGGCTTCTCTACTGAGACTTCAAACCGAAAGGGATGAAAAGGTCAGCTTCAGAACACACACACACACACACACACACACACACACACACACACACACACACACACCAGCTATCCTCCCTGACCACCATCTGCAAAAGAAAATTCTGCATGCCGTTCCCCCAGGTTATTGAAAGGGGAGAATATACACAATGCTGGGTCATAAGGCAGAACCTCTGTTTGTAACAGAGGCTCACCTTGATGCTCATAGGCAGGGGGGATCTGAGATCACAGGGTCACCATCCAGAACTGCGACTTTATTTCCTGGACTCAGCTTCAAGGTTGCTTGGTCTCTACAAAGAAATATGCTTGGGTCCTCATATTGTCTACTGTATCTGAAATCTGAAATCTGACCGTGAAGGTACAAATACATGCAAGTTCAGGTTGGCAATTCCCATGCCATAGATTTTGGTTCTGATAGAAATGATGTTTGAGGGCTGGAGACATGGCTCAGCAGTTAAGAGCCCTGGCTACTCTTCCAGGGGACCTGGGTTTAATTCCTAGCACCCACATGGTAGATCACAACAATCTATAATTCCAGATGCAGGGGATCTGATGACCTCACACAGACAAACATGCAAGTCAAACGCAAATGCATATAGAAAATAAAATAAATGTTAAAAAAACAAAAAACCTGGGTGTTGGTGGCACAAGCCTTTAATCTCAGCAGAGGCAGAAGCAGGCAAATCTTTGTGAGTTTGAGTCCAACCTGGTCTATAGAGCTAATTCCAGGACAGACCCCAAAACAATACAGAGAAACCCTCTCCTCAAAAACAAAAACAAGAAATGATGTTTAGCCATCTGAGATGTCTATAAAGCCATTCACACTCTGGCTGAATAAGAGGTATCCTTAAGTGCATTCTGGTTTCCACTGCACAAGTGCATTGGTTGTCTCTTCAAATAATTGGGGCAGGAACTTTATACCCTGGAGACTGAAAAGGGTAAATCACCCAAGGTCACCTGGCTATTAGTGGGGAAGCTAATTTCAAATCCAGGTCATCAGGTTTATCTTATCACCCAGACTCACAAAGGAATTAATTAGGCACCTTTTCCAATCATATACAAGGCATCAGTCCTAACCCTGTGAGTCCAATGTGAGGTCTGCTCCTGCCTCCTCAGTGCTGGCACCTCAGTCCCTCAGCTTCTCCACCTTCAGTTGCTCAACTGAGCCGGCAGGGTATGGAGGGAGTGTTTGGCTAAGGATGCTGGGAAGATGTCCCATTAGCATGCCCTCTGGTTACTGTTAATGCATGCCTGAAGCAGAAAGAGACACTGAGCCAGTTAGGTAAGCAAGTCCTCTCCACACTGATGCCAGCCACCACAAAGGGTGGCAGGTTCAGCCTGAGGGCTGCTCCAAACTTCAACATATGTAACTGTTCTTGGATTCTGAAGCTTTGCTGCAGCAGAAAACAAACAAATGCTGGGCATGGTGGCAGGCATGTGTGCTGGGTGTTTCCCAGGCTCTTGGTGTCTGAGAAGGCAGCAAAGGCTCACAGAGACTGTAAAGTAGCAACAACACTTTACTCACAGCAGAGCGGTAAGCATAGATCAGAAAGAGGCGCACTGGCAGAATGGTCAGTGTGCCATGTGAGTGAAGGTACTTGAGGGCCTTCTTTATCTTTCAGTCTTCATTTTGTGGGTTTTGTGGGTACAAAGGAAGGCAGAGCAAGGTTACTAGGGGTGTAATTTTGGTGGTTCTCTATTTTAGCAGACAGACATAGATTAGTAGGTCTTTGCTCACTGTGCATATCCTTCCCCATAATGCATCAGATCTCATATATATATATATGTATATATATATATATATATATATATATATATATATATATATATGCACAAACATACCACAAAATGCATAGGCATAAAATAACAAATAGGAGATTTCCCCCTAAAACTCTTCACTCAAAGAAACACCGTTTGCTTTACTGAACATGTACACCCCAAACTGTCTAAAGAAAACTGATCCATTTTTCTTGGTTCAGGATGTGTTCCAAGGCACGTTTGAATAGAAGTGAAGCATTTTGAAAAGGTTGCTAAGGGGATTAACTTGTTCCCATGGCTTAAACCAGATGAGTGTGAGCTCAATGCATACAGGGGTCCTAAGTTGCCACCAGGTTGTTAGGTGCTTTGTTCAGAGAGGATGTTTATCCAGCCCAGTCAAGCAGACTTCCCAGGCTAGTAAGCTACTCTGCTTGCCTGCCTCAGTGGCAGATGCCTATATCCCATCACTTGGGAAGTAGAGGTGACAGCAGGGTTAGAAGTTCATGGTCATCCTTGTCGGGTTCTCATTGAGTTCAAAGCCAGGATAACGCCATCTCACAAAACCAACCCCCCCCCCCACACACACACACCAAAAAACACAGGGACAAATGTGAAACAAAACAGCTGAGTGAGTTGGCAGCTTCGCTGCTCAGCATTTGCCTCTGTTTTCAGGTACGATTTGAAGGTTTGACCGGAAACGTGCAGTTTAATGAGAAAGGGCGCCGGACCAACTATACCCTCCACGTGATTGAAATGAAGCATGATGGAATCCGAAAGGTAAGGGCCACCTTGGCTGACTTGACTGAGTGGAGATTCAGGCTGGTAATGAGGGGCCCTGGATATCTGCCTTGCCTACACTTTTGAAGAAACTCAGGCAATGTGTATTCCAGACTCTTGTAGTCTCAACTCTGCCATTTGTCACTTGGGATTTGGGGAGAGTCTGGCCCCTTCTCTGAGAATTGATTCCCTCTCTGAGAAATGGAGATGCAACTCCCAGATTTTTTTTCCTGACAGTGCATGAGAACCAGGGGAAAGAAAAACATTTTTAAAATATAAAGGAAGAGCCTGGAATATTCACCTTTACCCATGACTCCAACATTTGAGTGCCTGAGACTGGAGGGTTATTGCAGGTTTGAGGCTAGCCAATGATATAGAATGAGATTTGACCTCATTTTTTAAGAACCTGAAGATATAAAGTAATAGATGCTTATATAGTACCATTGATATTCCTTGGAATTCTGGAGAATCCTAGAATGTTTATTGGTGAGGTTAATCATCTTTTGATTGACCACACTTATTCAGTCATGCTCTCTTCTCCACAGAAGTCAAAGTGAAAAACACACTTGGGTATGGATTTTTTTCCGCTGAGTAGTACTCCATTGTATAAATGTACTACATTTTCTTTTATCCATTCTTTGGTTGAGGGGCGTCTAGGTTCTGGGGCTTCCAGGTTCTGGCTATTACAAATAATGTTGCTATTAACAGTTGAACAGATGTCCTTGTGGTATGAATGTATATTTTTTGGGTATATGCCCAAGAGTGGAATTTCTGGATCTTGGAGTAGACTGTTTCCCATTTTTCTGAGAAACAGCCATACTAATTTCCAAAGTGACTGTACAATTTGCACACTCACCAGCAATGGAGGAGTGTGCCCCTTTATCCACATCTTCCCCAGCATAAACTATAGGTGTTTTTGATTTTAGCCATTTTGACATGTGTAAGATGTTATGTGTAACATCTCAGAGATGTTTTGATTTGCATTTATTTGATGGCTAAGGTTGTTGAGCAATTTCTTGAGTTCCTTTCAGCCATTTTAGATTCTTCTATTGAGAATTCTCTATTTAGTCTGTACCCCACTTTTTAATTGGATTATTTGGTGACTAGCTTCTTGAGTTCTTTGTATAGCTTGGAAATCAGCCCTCTGTCAGATGTTGGGTGTGTTTTTACATAACACCAATACTCACACTAGACATTTTCAGATGAAATAAAGATCTTTGATCTTATTTAAACTCTAAGATCCAGCATGCTTTGGTCACCATCAATTTCTCCACCTTTGCCCTTTGACACTTCCTTCATGCCACTCTAGTCAATCCTGTTTCTTCCAGTTCTTTAAGTCCACATGCTCCTTCATGCCCTGGACTCTTCCCATACCTAGGAAGATGGGCTTTCCACCTTGCTGCTGTCTTCTGCTTGGTTGATACATCCTCAGCCTTCAGCACTTAAAGGGTATTCCTTGGAGACAACTTTCCTGCTGGCTTTTTTTCTGTCTCTTGGCAGCCCCTGTCTCCCCTGCCCTCGGCCTTCATCAGGTCTGCTTCCTTGTGGTAAATGAGCAAGGAGGCATCACTGAGGGTTTTGAAGCTGGTGGAGGGTTGTGGCTCTTGGGGATCCTGGAACCAAAGCTTAACTTCTCTACTTACTCATCTGGGATCTGGGCAGTTCTCTTAGTCTAGGTAGACAGATCTCACCATGATAATGCTGACCTTGTGGGCTCATTGGCACAACTCAGGGCTCCCTGGTGTTTGACAGTCCTAGATGTTAGCCCTGGTACCTGGAAAACTGACACAGTATCCCAGACTTAGCACCCTCTGTGTCTCCAAGGCTATGTTACATATCCTCACCTTGGTCACATAGGTCATTGAAATTTAACTTTTAATGACTCGAAAACTTAGAATTATCAGATGCTGCACAGCCACATGTGGCTCTTAAGTGTCACTTCTAACAGTGCAGATGCAAAGCATTGCTGCCATTGTAGGAGATTCTAGATAGCTCCTTTCAATGACACAGCATCTTGGCTCCCTGAAGCCCAATCTCTCTTCTCCACTGTAGAACACACCTCTACTCTCTAGCATGGCTCATAGTTGCCATAATAGATCATTACAAACCATGACTTCAAGCCACACACATATTTCCCCTTATGATTGCATACACTGATGGGTTAAATAGTCAAAGCACTGGCAGGACCGTGTTCCTTTCTGGAGGCTTCTTTTCATTTGCCAACTTTTCCCTAGCATTTTCTCACTTTCCAATGTCTCTAGTATCATCTCCTGCTACTCCTGGAAGGGACAACAGACACAAGACCTCCTCCCCTACCCATAACACTTTCAGACCCTCAGAAGACTTCTGGCTCTTGCTTTATAATGGAACACAGATGCTGTGTTTTGTAAAGGTGGTTTGTAAAGGGCTAGAACAGTCAAGATGGTTACTCTTAGAAAACCAGCAACTATGAACCCGAGCTAAGCTCAGAATCATCACAGTGAGAAATGTTACTCCTTGTCAGTGTCACAAGTTTGATGCCTGTACAACGCATAAAAACTATGTGTTTGTACTATTAAAATATGGAGACTGAACCTGGTCTGGTGACACAGGCCTGTGATCCCAGCACTAAGGAGTGTGAGGCAGGAGGATCAGAAGTTCAAGATTGGCCTTGGATACAAACAAGAAAAGACTAGGGAGGCTGCTGATGGAAATCATGCTCTACCCCCGGTAGTGGGGGCCATTTAAATGAAGCCAGATTCCTGTCTACCATTAGTGCATTGAGGAAATGGGATAGTGTAAGGACTAGACATGAGAATCAGATACATCCACCTGTATGTCACCCATCCAACAGTGCTAAGCCTAGGGAGGTCTGCATATTTAAGTGAGAGGGATTCAGCTAAATAACTAGTTCCTCTCAGTTCTGGCATTTTAGATGATCCTTGAAAATCTAAACATGGCCATGTTTTTACACCCTTGCTCTCCAATCACACTGTCCATCTTCAGACCAGACTCACGTTCTTTGTAGAAGTGGAGCTACAGACCTTCCTCATACATACACTGCTACAGACCTTTCTCATACATACATTGACTTTGGTGTGACCTGGCCAATGATTATAGGCCCTTTGCTATGACTTTAATCCTTCCCCCGACTCTGCCCTGAGAAGACTCCATCTTCTCTAGAACTCAGCTTCATTAAGAACTTCCTGGAGCAAGTAGCTCCCTGGAGGGATGAGCAATTTTTACAAGCACTGTCTGGAGACCTAGTTTTTAAAAATGCAGATTCCTGCAGCATAGAGACAAGCTCAGTGATACAAATGAGTACAAAGCTCCCTCCCCAACCTACCAGGCTTCCAGGGGGAATAGTTGGGTCTCTAAGGGACAGGCAGACCAGTAGTTAAATAGCTGTACTCTGCACCGGTCATGTGACCTTGACCAAGTCACTCTGAACCTCAGTCACATCATCTCTGATGCAGGGAAGTGGGTGTGCTTGTAATCCCTAATCCCAGGACCTGGAAGGCTGAGCTAAGACCATCATTTGACAAGGGTAGCCTGGTCTATGGATGAGACCCTGAGTTAAAAAGAAGAGAGGGAGGGAGAGTGGGAGGAAGGGAAGAAGTGGGGAAGGATGGAGGACAGAAAGGAGGAAGTTATCTCATATGATTAAATGAGACTATGCCTACACTTGCACAGTACAAGTTTGAGGAGAGCAGCCTCTGGCATGCAGGGGCATTCAGCCCACATCCATTGGCTCCTATTTTAAATCCCCCTCTATCTGCCACAGAGACTTCACACCAGTTCTGTATGCACTGCCCAGGAGCACACACAACCCTCAAGCAAATGGCTGTGCCTGGCTTTCTAATCACCAGGCTGTTTTCAAACTCATTTTCTAGTGACTAAATCTTTCCTTCGAATGTGTTCTTACACATTCTTTCTCTACGGGGATCTGCCTTTCAGAAAATCAATTCCTCTGAATTCCTGCCTCCAGGACTTTTACTCAATCAGACTCCAAGCAAATTAACACCTACGATTTTCAAGAGTGACCTTGTGCTGGTTTCAGGGGCATTGCAAGGCCTTACCTGCCCTGTGTAACAAAAGCTTTCTCTTCCTAGTTCAGGGCTTCTGGGAAACTCCAATCCCACCTGTATCCTGCTGACTCTGCTGACTCAGAGCCAGCCTGCTCCCTAGGTGTCACTGGGATGCTAAAGTGCTAAGCTTCCTTTCAACAACTTTAAAGTTTCAGAGAGCAGACTTGGCCCAGGCTCTCATGATATTTCATCCTATGAAGTCCCATTTATATGTATGACTTCCAGGTGGGCTTGGGCATCCTTCTCTGAAAGAGAAATCTTGTCATATTGGGATGAAACCACATTCTCATACTGACCACTCACAGGGGAGTTGCAAGGCATTCTGCCACAGATTCCTCCACCAGGGAAGCAGCAGTGGAGATTCAACCACCTTCGCCTATTGATTGTGTGTCTAGCTGTTTCAGTGCTTACTGATGACATCTGATATCTGCCCCTTTCAACTTGATTTAAGTACCCCCTACCCTGGTCTGGGTTGATACTCCATTCTGGCCTTGCACATAACTGGTCAGGAAAAAAATCACAGTGCCTGGAATTCCTACCAGTATCTCCATTATCTTCTCATTCCAGAACTCATAACTTTCAACTCCCTCTACCTTCCCAGAAGTTTTAAGTCCTTGGCATCTAACTTTTCACATGCAATCTAATTTTCGCCTAATATATGACCTCAATACAGCTGTTCCTCCATCTTCACTAAGCAACCCAGAGCCCATGCCAGCTTCCTTGTCACAGTCATCAGCTTCCTCAGTACCATGGATCTTATTAGGTATTTACAGCCCTACCTCACTACAAAGACCATACTCCCACCCTAAGAGCTGGGGAGTGTGTTTCAAATATACAATGAGTCACACTACTTAGAACTTTTCCCTGGCTTCTTACCTCCAGGAAAATGAAGCACATCTCCTGACCTAAGCATACAGGGCCCCAGACATAAATGCTCACTCTTTTTCTCTAGCTCATTGCTTTGCCTTTGTGGGGGCATTGCTCTGTTCCTTGGGTATTCATTTTGCTATCCTTCTACCAGGCATCCCTACACCATCTTCTGAGATAAAGTTGCAATAAGCTTATTAACTTCAACCTTTTAGATGTGCTGATTTGCCTAACCCTGGGTGCTGTGGGGACTAAACTCTAAAACCTAGCTCTTTAGTGCAGTTAAATCTCTTGTTTAGTTAAGTTAAACCAATGTCTAAGTGTTGCTTAAGTGTTCTGCTTCGTTGCAAGCAAATTACAGCAAGATATGATAAAAATAGTTTGGTAGATGTTTTAAAAGTGGAAGTTAGTGAATTAAGAACAAGGAGGTTTGTCACTAGGGCTCAGCTGAGAACTGGGTGTAAGAAGGCGTCACTGTCCACTAGGATCTTTTTGACTGTCAGTGTTTAGCAAACAGATGGGGAAGAAAGAAAATGGAAAAACTGCTGGAAACCTGGGCAAGAACGGTCTGAAAAAGAGGCACATCACTCTCCCAGCATTCCATGCACCAGAACACAAGTGTTCCTTCCAATGGGATGCAAAACAGGTTGTGAAACATACTTCTGGTTTGATTGTTACTTCCCACTATTTCTACACTATGAAAGGCAAACAAGATTGCTTAGTGGTCAGCTAGCCATCTCTGCCACAATGGGCAAGTGGTTATGACGACCCTCATTTGGGGAAGTTGGGAGCCATGGCTTCAAAGGCAAACTGAGGATTCCCATGAGCAAATTCGACCTGATGGCCAAGGGAAGATCAAGTGCATCTGAAGTTCTGTGATCACCTGCTCTTTAAACTTCATCCACTTAAGAATATCTGTTCTATCATCTGGACTCATTTCCGATGTTCAAAGAATCTTTAGAGGCGGATGGAAAATAGGAGATCAAAAATAATAAGTGGCCCCAGGAGAAGACTTCTCCCTGTCAGAGTTTTTTTTAAAATCCTCTCCTGAACAGTGGGTCCCAATCTTTACCAAACTACTTACTCTGTATTTGCTTCAGATAGAATCAAAGCCCCTACACCTCCTCAGTAGAGAATCAAAGTCCCATATATTAATCCAGTCCACATCCCAAAGAAAGGGGCAAAGCTCTCCCTTTCAAAGCCTTTCCAGACACTTCTGCCATCTTTCTATGCATCCAGCTGTGGAGCCACATATCCATATGAATCTGCCTGCTCACAGGAGGTGTGAACATGAGCCTTTGCCTCCAGATGTCTATCCCAACCCTGGCAAGATCATGTCTTCTTTGACCATGAGTCAACTAGGGAAAGCTAAGCTTTTTAAGACTGAGGGTATGCATCAATCAACATAGTGCTTGCCGTGGAAGCATGATTTTGATCCCCAGAACCTATAAGAACATAAGCCAGGATCAGCAGCTTGTACCTAGCATCCATGCAATGGGAAAAGCCTTCTAGCTCTTGCTCCACCATGACTAGCCTGCAGCCCTGGGGAAGTTACTTCTCCCCATTATAGTGCTCTCACACTTAATATAGGAGAGAAAACTGGCAAATGCCATGGGATTTTAATGGGGAAGAAATGAGTTAAAACATAAAAAGCATTTAGAAGAACAAGAAGCATTCACTACCAGCAAACTGATTCCATCCCTCAGTGATAATAGCTACTGCAGGCAATAAGATGAATGAGCAGGGTCCCAGGCTAAGAGCAGGCACTGCCCAGCTGCACCACCTCAGGAAATGAACAGATGGGAAGGTAGAAAACTCACTGAGCCAAAGAAGACCATGGGTATAGCTGCCATTGTGAATGACTGTAGATCACAAAGAAACCAGGGAAATACATCAAGGTAAAGGACCACACAAACCAACCATGTGGCCTGTGACTCAGTTTCTGTGCTGAGCTCTGGATGCTGAGAAGACTGCTCACCTTCCACCTCCTGCCTGAGGACTGCCAGATCTCCATCATTTTTCCCATTATAGCTGCAGCCAGCAGAATGACAGACATAGCTGCCTGGAGCCTGGGGGGGGATGAGAAGGGAAGAGAAGAAAAAGAGGGAGAAGAGAAAGAAAGACCAGAGAGGGAGGAGGCGAGGAAGAAAGGGGAAAGGGATAAAGGAAGGGCAAGAAGGAGGAGGATAAAGAAGGAGAGTGAGGAAGAAGAAGAAGAAGGGAGAGGGGGAGGGGAATTGAGGAAGAGGAAGAAAAGAGAAGCAGGAGATAGGCAGTCTAGATATATGTGTATGCTCTTGTCTGTATGTTTGCTGTACACATGTGAGTGCTGTACACACATGTGTGCATGCGTGTGTGTGTATCTGTGTGTACTCTGTGCACATAAGTGTGTGCATGTGTTAGCTATGTCATTTTGTTGTCCCAAACCTTCCATGATTTCCTGTTGCCTTCAGAACAGTCTCCACTGCTTGGCCTGGCCTTTAAAATCCTGTGCTACTTAAACCCATGCATTCACTGTGCCCCCAGGTAAACCCCAGATGCTGCCCACTGAACTTGCCTATATTGGCAGACTTCTGCCTCTACAGCAGGGTGATCATCCTCCTTGACCTAGGAGGCTTGGGCTGAGCCGTGCATCGTCTCCCACAGCCCTTTCCTCACAAAGCATCCCACTTTAGCTCTGTGCTTCTCTGAAGTCCTCTGTTACTCACTCAGCATTTCTGAACTGTGTGAATGAGTGATCTGTGTCTTCTCAAGTGACATTCTTAGGGAAAGCACCCCCTCTTTGACATCTCTGGATCTCTCTCAAACTTTGTTGCATATCACTACGTGTCTGAGCTCAAAACTTTGTGCATAATTGGAATTCAGTAACTTTTCTGAAAGACCTTGGACAAAGTATTAATAATCTGATGATATTTAGAAATTAATTTTGTTTACCCTTGAGTATGACTCAGTATTGTAACAATCAGGAAAACCAGCAGTAAATGGAGGATAAGGAACTTTTCCAGGAAGCTAAATCTGGATGGGAAAATGTAGGTACTCTAAAAATGAGAGTAGCAATTAATCAAGTGGCTGAAACTACAGTTCAGAATAGGTTTGTAGAAACAAAGGGTTAATACTTATGGGGCGATATGGCTTGGCTGCCTAAATAGCTGCAGGGAATTAAATTCCACAGCCCTCACTTTTACCTTCCTATACAGTTTAGATAAATAAAGACTTAAACTTTTGTCCTCCCAGAGGGGCAACCTCTGGGCTTAGTCGACCCTGTGAGGAGGTCCACTGGAGATGGAGACAGGACTTGGGGTGCATCTTACCTCTTGATGTTTCTGCCTATAATACCCTAGATTCTGGTACACCAGTTACTGTGCTGCCATACCCAGCTCCAAGATTCCCCCTCAGATCGTGTTTTCTGCCTTCTCCTTATTAACAGATTGGTTACTGGAATGAAGACGATAAATTTGTCCCTGCAGCCACCGATGCTCAAGCTGGAGGGGACAACTCCAGTGTCCAGAATAGAACCTACATCGTCACTACAATCCTCGTGAGTATTCTCCTTCATCAAATTTACCTGAAGTTCAAGCTAGACCCACCCAAGCACATCCTGCTTTAGAGTGAAATCTGCCAAGACTACATCATAGATGGAAATAGTGGTGCTAGTCACAGTCATACATGCATGCTTGTCAGCCCAGCACTCAGGAAGCTAAGAAGGGGGTAGAGTTCCTGGCAAGCCTTTGCTATATAGTGAGATGGTCTCATAAAACAACAACAACAACAATGATAATAATGAATCCATGCAGACTGGGAAAAGACATGCCTTGTGCATAAGCAATTCTGAATTTCATCAGTGTCTCTGAAGTCTACTCTCACCCAGCATCCTCGGATAAGCTACATCTCATCTTCTGAGTGACTTTCCCTATATATGAAACACAAAAGTGTCCCTAAGTTGTTCTAGTTTCTATATGTACCTCCTTCAGTAGAAGCCACTTTCTCCTTCAGGTGAACACATAGAGGATTCAGAAGAGAAGGCTACTGTGGTTCAATAACTTGTGAAAAATCTGAAGTCTATTCAGAGGTATCTTTAAAAATACACTGCAGAGGACCTAGGTTTAATTCCCCAGGGGAGCTAACATTCACTTCTGACCTCCTCTGGTACAAGGTACACATGCAGTGTTCAGACATACATGCAGATAAAACACCCATATACATAAAATAATTTTTTAAAGTATACAAAGAACATAATTTGGAAAGCCATGTTACATTTTCTGTGATAAAATAGTCTTATTTTAGCAGCATTTATTTTCTTTTCCCAAGAAGTTTATAATGGAGTGGGGAAAGGAATTCAGGAAACTTATTAAGGCTTTCGAGAGACTTCCCAGTGTTTACCACCATTGGAAACATCCTCCTCTGCTGGGTCAAAGTCCTCCCCACTCACAGGTGCACCCACAGGCCACACCCTCTGTCCTGTTTCTCCACCAGGAAGATCCTTATGTGATGCTTAAAAAGAATGCCAACCAGTTCGAGGGCAATGACCGCTATGAGGGTTACTGTGTGGAGCTAGCTGCGGAGATCGCCAAGCATGTGGGCTACTCCTACCGACTCGAGATCGTCAGTGACGGCAAATACGGAGCCCGGGATCCAGACACAAAGGCCTGGAATGGCATGGTGGGAGAGCTGGTCTATGGAGTAAGTGCCTGGGGAAGGGAGAGGGGTTGCCATGAAGGACAGAGGAAGGAACCAAGCAGGAAAGCATTTGATGGCTGGGAGGCTCTGTGCACAAACTGACTCCCAAATTAACTAGAACTGCTGCTGAACAGAAAGTCATCTGTTGTCTTAAGACATGGGGATCCAAATTCTTGGTCCTAATTCACTCAGCCTGGCTCAGAGTCTGTCATTCCAGTTGACCATTGACCAGCACAGGTGAGAACATACACAGCTCCAGGATCAGCTCTCTCGGGGCAGATAACAAAGCTCATACCAATCTACTAACAGTCATCTGTGGCTTCCACCAGGACTAGATATGCCTGCATTCAAGTTCACAGTTGAGTCGTTCTCTCCCTCTTCTACAACTTCTGATCATTCAGCTGACCCCCAGGCTTGGTTCCCTGAAGCCTCTCCTGCCATCCTCCATCTCTAACCAAGTCCTCTTTTTTGTCCTCTTCAAGCTGCCCTTGCTTCCCATTCTAGAACTGTATCTCTGCTCCTTTGTGGTTCACTCTGCCTCAAATTCTTTTCATTAATGTGGTCAGGGCAGGTCCAAGCCATCTGTGTGGAACACCACATTTAAAACAACTCCCTGGGCAACTACGGCAGATAAGTGAAGCAGTCTTGAGCAGACACTGAATGGGACAGTGGGGGTTTTCAATGTCTAGGGAGTCATGAGAAGCCAAGATTCCCAGACCTTGCACATTTCCTAGGGTTAAAGAGACAATGATTAAGAGTGGTTTAAGAGCATAGGTTCCAGAAGCCTAAATTGCATGGTCCACAGAAGAGCTAGCTCATGGAGATTTCTGCCCCTCTGAATATGTGAAACTTGGAAAACAGTCATATGGAAATAGAGACAGAGAAATGGGCATCCCAGGATGCCCTATACTTCTAAGTATAGGATAGTAGAAAAGTAAGTAAGGTGCGGTCAATCAAACACTGGCTTGGTTGCTTTGGGTGCAATTGATCAGTGAAAAGCTTGAGCCATAGATGGCAGGGCAAGAGTGTGGGTTGATTCAGTCAGCACCAGAAGATGATGGTGGCTCTTGAGTAAAGCAACAAAGGGCAATAGATGTAAAGAGGCTGTGACTCAGTTGACAGAGTCCCTGTCTAACATGCATGAGGCCCTGAGTTCAGTTCACAATCCCGGGCATGATAATACACATCTGTAATTTTACAATTCCAGAAGTGGGTGCATGAAGGCCTGAAGTCAAGCCTCTTCCTTGATGATGGCATCCTGGGACAGAGACCTTGTCTTAGAGAAAAAAAAAAATATCAAAAGGCAATTCTCATAATGTGCAAGAAAGGGACCACAGAGGTTTCCCTCTTGGGTCCTGAAAACGCCAACTGCATCTTTGAGTTGAAACTGATTCTGAGCCCCAGGTTGGTACTCAGGTGATGGTCAAGGGTAATTGATCATTTCAGAGGATTGTGGGTCTTGAGGGCTCATGTTAGAACAGGAGGAGTCATGATGGCCGTGAAGTATATACCTGACCAAAGGAGAAATGACACAAAGAAGATACTCTGAAGAAAAGTGGCTTTCAAGGTGACTTGTGATGGTAGAGACTGGGTCGCGGAATGCTATGGGCATCTCCCTTTCTTCTTCCCTTGATGCCTCTCACTTTGGAAACTCCACCAATGAAAAAGAGACCTGGATGGGTCCTGCTGCATCTGGAGGCTGGTTTCCATGGAAACTTCCTCTGAGCTCTTAAGGTCATTGTCATGGCAATTACTGTGAACTTCTCACCTTCACCAACGTTCATCTTCGCCTCCACCTCCTGTAATGCAGTTCTCTTTGTCAAAAAGTCCATGGCTTGGGCAGAGCTGTATGTGACCATCCCAAGGGCACAACCCCCAGTGCCAGTAGCTAGTGTCGTATCAGGTTCATCCATATTCCAGAGACCTGGAATCACCTCTATATCCTTCCTATTAAGCCTAAGGCCTTATGTCCTATTCATTAGGCCTGTTCCTCTACCAGTGAAAACTGATTCCCAGGGAATCCATGTAAAGCATAAAATGATTTTCCTTTATCTTGAGTTCATCTTTCTCATTTTATTCCCCTGAGAAAAATGAATTAGGGGAAATATCTATCAACCACAAACCACCAATGAAGAAAGGAAGGAAAGAAGTAAAGAGGGAAGGAGGGAGGGAGAGAGGGAGGGAGGGAAGGAGGAGGGAGGGAGAACCAACTCACAGGCCATTGAGTTTCCTAGTCTATGAAAGTAGTGACTGCTTGGAGTCTGTAATGTCTCTTCTGTTCCTGGTTCTTGCCCACAGTGGTAACTAGTTCGTACCCTCTCGGGTGCCCCATGTCATGCTAACTACTGCACTCATCCTCTGTCATGTTCTAAGCCCTGTAAGGTAGATAATTCTACACTTTGTAGAGGAGGATACAGAAGCTGTGTGGGAGTAGCTGATGTGTTGAAGTACACACAGTCATAACAGTAGTCATAACCCAAAGTTCTGTCTTTTGTCCATCAGTAGGACACCCACTTACACAGAAATCATTCCATTCAAACCTTAGGTGTTGAAGTTAAGAGGTACTGAGAGATGAGCCAGAGGCATTCTCAGTGAAAGAAGGGCCAGGGTACTGCTGCAGATTAGTCTTCTGGGTGTGGCTTTGGGCCTTATTCGTGGGCATCTTCTTGTCTTCCCATGACTATAGCACAAAGAGTAGTATCTGCAAAGTCCTGGGGTTGGGTTCCAGCTCTGTCATTCTCTGAACTGCATGGCTCCTGTAAGCCACTTAACTTCTCCAAGGTCAGCTGCCTAAAAAGGATGGGGGGTATTTGCTGCAGGCCTGTGGTGGGAGTGCTTGCCCCACAGAGCCCAGATCTCAAATTATCTCACCCAGACAATTTGAATCCTGTCCCCTTTTGCTATACCCAAGCTATGTGGTGAGTCCCAGCACTAACCAAGGGCAGATGAGCATGCCTAGCACTCTTGCTTGCTTACCAACAGGTTAGATTTGACATTCAGACACTGAATACTTGTGGAGCTTTGAGCAACCTTCCTTGGAAAAAAAGAGAAAAATTTGCAGCTGCCTTGATTTTGTCATTACATATGATTCCTTCATATGATTCCTTCCTCCTGGAAAGTCCTCCTTTTCTTCAATGTCACATTGATATGTCACCTCTTGCATGCTGCAATCCCCTCCCACCTTAATGGACCCCTCCCCCCTTCTCCTGCAGTGGCCTCCCTTCATGCCTTGGAGACTTGATAAGTGAGCCCTGTGTATATGTATGCATGTGCATGTGTGGTATGATAATCTTTTCTATAAGCTTATAACTCTTGAATGCAGAGGGGGGGGGGCATAGTTTACCTCCACCTTCCATCTTAGAGCGTAACATAATTGTTCCATAAATGTTTATCAGATTCCATTTGCTGTCACCATCTCGTTAGCCAGGATAATCTTGGTTATGGGTAAAAGAAATCCAATGCAAACTGGCTTAAGCAAACAAAACAAGTGTCATGTTTTCTGGGAGATAGAGGGATTTATTGACACATTTCCAGGGATCCCAATGTAAGCCCTGAATCGAGGGACCCAAATGGCAGCCTCTGGGGTCACCCTTTGTGCCACTCAGCTCTGGCTCCAGCTCAGGGCTAATTCTCACTGAGCCCATGAGTCTGGGGTATCGCTAGGTAACTCTCTCAGGGCTGGGAGTAGAGTGTGCTACATAAGCATTCTATCTGCTTTCCAAGGTAATCAGGCAGGGAAGCAGGCCTGGAGGGGTCTCAGAATACAAGCAGGAAGCCTGGCCCCTGAATAAACACAAGCTTCAGCCTCTTTCTTGCAGTATGGGGATGGCATCTCCAGCAGCAAGTAAAGCTGTCAGACACTGGAATGAACTCTACTGTCAAGTAGCAAGCTGTGGTCCATTTCTCAGAAACACTTTATAGTGTCTGAGCAGTCAGACTTAACAAGGTCCTATACCATTTCCACATCCTTTAAGATATAAAAATATTCACAGTAAACAGTGAAACAAGAGCTTGGGAAAGGCCTCAGTCTATAAAGCACATATTAAGCAAGCATGAAGACCAGTGTTTGGATTCCTAGCATCTAAGTGCTATAGTGCACTGAGGAGAGGATGCAAAAACAGAGGACAGCAGGAGCTCAGCTGGCCGACCAATCTAACCAATCAGTGAGGTCCAGGTTTAGTGAGAAATCTGCCTTCCAAAACAAGGTGAAAAGCAATTATACAATGAAGACAACTGATATCAACCTCTGGCTTCCCTATGCACAGAGAGAGAGAGAGAGAGAGAGAGAGAGAGAGAGAGAGGAGAGAGGAGAGAGAGAGAGAGGGGGGAGAGAGGAGAGAGAGAGAGAGAGAGAGAGAGAGAGAGAGGAGAAGCTACTGAGCTCAACTAAACCTGATTTGATTTTTATTTGATCCTTTCAGAGAGCCGATGTGGCAGTTGCCCCCTTGACCATCACCTTGGTACGGGAGGAGGTTATTGACTTCTCCAAGCCATTCATGAGTTTGGGAATCTCCATCATGATTAAGAAGCCACAGAAGTCCAAGCCTGGTGTCTTCTCCTTTCTTGACCCTTTGGCCTATGAGATCTGGATGTGTATTGTATTTGCCTACATCGGAGTGAGCGTCGTCCTCTTCCTGGTCAGCCGTTTCAGCCCCTATGAATGGCACAGTGAAGAGTTTGAAGAGGGGCGAGACCAGACAACCAGTGACCAGTCGAATGAGTTTGGCATATTCAACAGCCTGTGGTTCTCTCTGGGGGCCTTCATGCAGCAAGGATGTGACATTTCTCCCAGGTCAGTTGGCTCTTCCTTTCCTTGATGCTGCAATGCTCTGGAGATGAAAAACTATTAGAAACTTGAAAGGTGGGAATTAGAGCTGGGGAAATAGTTGGTAAAGTGCTTGCTGTGAAAATATGAGGATTTGAGTTTGATCCCTAGAACCCATGGTAAAAAGCTGAAAGTGATGGTATCCACTTGTAATCCCAGTGCTTAGGAAGCAAAGATGGAGAATCTCTGGGCTTACTGGCTGGCCAGCCTAGATCAGTGAGTCTCCTGTCCCCCTGAGAGACCTGACATAGAAAGCAAGGTTGGTTGGTGGTTCCTGAGGATGAATGGCAATGAATTTCTTCCACATACATGTACACATCACACACACACACACACACACACACACACACACACACACACACACACACACACACAAGAACTCTTCCCAGATGTCATTGCATCTGAGTTTCTACTACTGCTTTGGTGAACTGTCCATTGCATGTTGTGGGTTATTCTGGATGTTTCTATGATTGGGCCAGCTGTCTGCTACCTGGTGGAATGCTATCTTGATACTCAGGCATTGTGACTGATGTTCTGTAGATGAACAGTGCAGAGGAAGAATGAATGATGGTTTGCTACAACCAACTTTTCTTGAGTACCTACCATTGTCCTAGCAGGGAGACACCCTGTAACTGAATGATCACACCAGATTGGGACTTCCAAGACTCTCCTCTCACAAAGTTGCCATGGCCGCACTGCTCTCGTGGCAGAACTGAGTACAGTTCCCTACCTAATGGAACACTGAATCTAGCACATGATCCCTCTGTGCGGCCTTGGCAAAGTCACTTTACCCAGGAAGACTCAGGTTTCCTAATCAATGGAGGAGGGCTCTTCTTTTTCTGGTTCTGATTTTTGAAAAGAGGAGAACTCTAATTCCAGCAGCACTATAAACTTGCTTCTTGTGGTTCATATATACAGAAGCCCAGTGCCCCCACTTCTGACAGTTTTGTGTATTAGACTTGCTTATACAATTTATTTTAGGGAAAGTAAAGCCATGAGAAAGTGTATAAAGAGGAAAAAACTACCAACTGCAGCCAACTCCCAGGTTCACTAATGTCTTGTTTTGATGTGTAGTGTTTCTTTGGCTACATTCTAGAATGTTTGTGCCATCCCACCTTCAGCTGACCAGCCCAGGAAGGCAGCATTGCTGTGTGTTTTATTCCCATGGCTAATATCTGTGGCCTCTCTCTCTCTCTCTCTATCTCTCTCTCTCTCCCCCCTCCCTTCCTCCTTCCCTCCAAAGGTCACTCCCTTGTAGATGACCACATCTCAAAATCAGAAACATGGCTTGAACTCTGGCCTCCATGGGTCTACTGAGGTATAAGTGCATAAATTTCAGCCCTCATGGAAGTGTCATGAGGCATATTTGCCTCCAGTTACAATTTGCATTTGAGTGTGAATGAGGACTGATGTTCCTAATGGCGGAGGAGTAATGGCTTCTTAGCCAGCCTCCCCCAGGACTTACTTTGTCTGCCTTATAATTTGGAAAGCCTCATGGTGCACCATTTTAATCTTGTTTTTCTTTAAATAAGAAGACAGTCAGAGGGGGTGGGGTGACGTGGGAGAGAAGGTGTGAGACTGGATACTCAGCCAATACTGGCATATACAAGGCAAAGATAGAAAAAACCAAGCAGGGGAAGGGCTTGCTTAGAGATAAATCCAGCCACTGTGTAAACAGTGGGAAGAGTTAGCTCAGATGTGTCAGTGTAACGTACAAACATGGCAACGTGCACACAGTGTGAGCTTGCTCTGCTGTCACTTCCGTTAGGAGCAGACACTTGCCTCTCACCAGCAGCCTTGTGGTCTGGTTCCCAGAGTTTTCACATCTTCCCAGGGTCTCATGTACATTCACAAACTGAATACTCTGTCAGGTACAGCTTTGCTTAATCTGTGCAATTTTGCCAATGGTTGTCCCAAACAGAATGGCAGTGACCTGTGCATTCACCAGCTCGCCACAGCCCCTCCTGATCTGCTCCACTCCCATGACTTTGGCATCCCCTGAGAGTGTCTGTGATCTATGGACCATGGGATGTATAGACTGCATTCTCATGGCTTCTGAGGGACCCACTGGAGTATCTTAAAAAACCAACACCATGGTGAGGAGCAGCCTCCAAGCCATCCTCCTCCTCTACTTAATCAAGGAACATCACTCACTCAGTGTCTGTGCTTCTCATGTGTGACAGGGAAAGCACAGCTTCCCTGTTGAGTGTCACTGTAAGACTTATAAGTGGTTGCTAGGTCTACAGCCTGTGACACAGGGCCTAGCTGCCACATAAGAAAACCATAAAGCAGATGTAATTTTCATGGATTTTATACATTGGGTTTTGGCTAATTACTTGCCACTGTTCATGTCGCTTTGCCAGCCTGGTGCCCTCTTTTGGAGAAACCCAGACACAAAGCAGAAATAGCCAGTAATTCACCCCAGAGAGGCAACACCTGGATTCTGAGATTCCTCCCCACAAGAGGTGAGAGGAAGGATGTGTGGCTGGATGACACCATCTGATCCACACAGGAATAAACTGCCACCCTAAGGAGCTGTGCCCTTCTCAGTAAGCTTTCCCTCCTAAGGCTGCTTCAGCTGATCACAGAGCTTAACAATTCTCTATGGGTATGTGTCATAATGGTTCTTGGAAATGCAAATTAAACAGGAAATGTGTGCATTTCATCTGACCCAGACATAAAGGCAAGGACTGTGACTTGGATAGAGCCCAAACAGACAGTGCCAGGCAATGACAAATTGCTCCCCTGTGCCTTGGTATGACTCTGACAAACAGCATTGGGTGGAACACTCAAGGTTCATGATTGTTCCCATTGTCAGGCATCCTTCCAGATGAACTACACTCCATCCATTGTTCTTATTTAAAGAATGTACCCTAAGCTCACTAACTCAGCATATGGAGACCTAGAACCCATCAAAATGTATGTACCCAAGTTATATGCAGAGGGTTATTTTGTGCTGGGAACAGAGCTCTGTCAGTAGAACACTTTCCTAGTGTTCCTGGAGCTCCAGTGGTGCATGCCTGTAAGCCCAGCACTTTGGAGATGGAAGCAGTAGGACTGAAAGTTCAGAGGCATCTCTACAACATTTAGAGTTCAAGGCTAGCCTAGGCTGCATGAAAACTTGTCTCAAAAACAAACACAAACAAAAGAATTATGAAATCCTAATGCCCCATCAAAAATCGTGTCTTTATAACATCTTCAAAGTAATTAATGTTTAGTAATCAAAACTCTACTAACTATGGCCCCCAAGAGGTTTCTGTAAGTCACAGAAATATTTCTTACATAATGTGAACATACCCCTGGTTTCTTTTTTCCACCTTAAGAAACCAGGGAATCAACCAGGACTCGCCCTTCTACCTTTCTCTTGGCCTGTGCATATTGTTCACAAGCTGGCAACTCCAAGACACTGAATCCACCAAGAGACAGAGACAGGGGCCCATGTTCCCAGCCATAAGTACATCCTCAGATCAGGAAGGCAAAAGCTTAGGAAAATTGTCACCCCCACAGTGGTCCTGTGGGTTTTTATAAAGTCAAAAGAGGCCAGGAAGACAAGAGTTAAGGCTTCATGGCTGCTGTAGTACAGGGGTCATTGGTGCCCGAGAACCATCTCGCAGGACTGTAGAAGATACCTACAGTTGCTGCTTTCCATAGTAGCATCACAGGCACGTGGTAATATCTAGCAGGAGCACTTTCAGTCTTGTCTGCCCACAAATAGGACTAAAATGCTCTCCTGACCCCTTCCATTTCCTTTGAAATGTTCACATAAGCTAAAGGTTTGAGAGCTTTGTATTACAAACTAAGAATCACCTTAGCTGTGATCACAATCATACTGTATGTATTTCAGTTGTTTGGTGGTGATATTAGGAGCTTTGAATAAACCTGGTAAGACTATTTCTTGTGCCCAAAGGTCTGTTGTTGTTGTTGTTTCCCCATACATCCCTTCCTCCCCTCAGAAAAGAACATGTCTCCCTCCCAGGGACAGTAAACACAGCACAACAGGTACATACCAACCACATCAAGGCTGGACAAGGCAATCCAGTAGGAGGAAAAGAGTTCCTCACGCAGGCAAAAGAGTCTGAAACCGCCCCTGCTCCCACTTTTAGGAATCTCACAAGAGCACCAAGCTACTCGTACATAGTATATATGCAGGGGACCTAGATCAGACCCCTACCGTCTCTCTGATCTCTTTGAGGCCCTGTGAGTCCCAGTCAGTTGACTCTGCGGGCCATGTTCTCATGGTGTCACTACTATCCTCCCCCTCCTTCACAGGACCCCCTGGACTCAACTTAATGTGTGACTGTGAGACTCTGCATCTGCTCCCATCAGTTGCTGGATGAAGTTTCTGGTCTCTTTGATGAGGATTCTGCTAGGCTCTGGTCCCAGAACACTCTGCAGGCAGGACAAACTGTAGTTCAAAAGGTTTTGTGGCTGGGTTGGTGTCCCAATCCCCCCATTTAATACATTGCCTTGTTACAGAAGATGGCCAATTTAGGCTCCCTGCCCTCCATTACTAGTATTTTTTGCTACATTACTTCCATAGATTCAATGGAATTTCCATTGCACCAGGTTTCTACCTCACCCCAGATGTGTCCCCCAAATTCTAGTTGCTTCTCTCAGTATTTTCTTCCCCTGCTGCCACGCCTGATCTCTCCTGTTCCCAACCCCACTTAAATACAGTCCTCCCTCAAAATCTATTCTATGTCCCCTTCCCAGGGAGATCTTTGTGTCCCTCTTAAGCCATCCTTATTACTTAGCCTCTCTAGGTCTGTGGACTATAGCATAATTATCTTTTACTTTAGAACTAATACCCACTTTAAAGTGAGTACATACTATGTTTGTCTTTCTGGATATGGGCTACCTCACTCGGGTTGATTCTTTTCTAATTCCAGCCATTCAGCTGCAAATTTCATGACATCATGGTTTTTAACAGCTGAGTGATATTGCACTGTATAAATGTACCATGTTTT